CAAAGTATATGTGAACTGCTGTATGAAAAGTGAATTTACTCTGTAAATCTTCACCCAAATCCTAAAAATAAAAATAAATAAGAAAACAAAAAAAAAAATAAATAAATAAAAGTCAAACTTGGATTCAAATCCATAAACAGTAAAATCTGCAAAACCTGGAACATGTATAAGGCAGAGAAGGAGAATTCACATATTTCCTACTGATAAAGAGCAACAGAAAAGTGGTAAGTACATCCTGTCAAAGGTGGAAAACCTGCAAGACCTGGAAAAACAAGGCAGTCCCATAGAATGCTGGCTATCACAGGTTTCACTGTACAATATATCAAAGTCCCATCACTGAAAATATACAGGCTTCAAAATAGGGCAAAAGGTCACTAGAACAAGTATTAACAAAAGAGGATTAAGTTGCTTGCTCAAAAATCATGTGGGAACAGAGGAGTGACTAAACCCTAAGCTCATGGTAGGATACAATAACCATTCAATTTACAATTCACATGGCTATTTTCAAGTTATCACACATCTTTGAAACAGATTTTTATAATATCACAACAGAAGGCCTGTTAAAACTCAACCCTTATAAATTAAACTTTGTATCAGCAACTGGCAACAACTTTGTACTTACCCATATGATGAAGAACTCTTGGATCCATCATTTTGGCCATCTGTTGATTCAATTTTGCCATCTGAGACTGGCTTACGTTCTTAGACATGTCACCACCTGAAAAAGAAAAAAATGTATGAGTCACTATAAAATATACCTTATTTTTATGCAAATAATGCATATGTTATTTCAAATCACACGACCTCCTCATGAGTTATTTTCCTATGCATGCTATGCATGTTTTTTGCATGGACACATTATTTATGTGGACAGGTTATCTGAGAAAAAATACAGTAAGAGGATACCAAAGAAAAGTTTGAGGAATTGAGTAGTTCAAGGGGAAAAAAAAAGTGAACTATAATGCTATCACTCTAACATGATTATTTCTATTTCTATATACTTTTTCCTAGTCTTTACCTCAATTGCATACATATTTCAAAGGACAAGTGAAATTCTATTCTTAATTATGTGACATTTAAGGGCTAAGATTGTTGATGATATATTTATTTATACCTGTGCATAAGTTACTAAGCAAAACTGTTTCCAGTGGTTATTAAGATATAACAATAATTATTTAATAGTGATACAGAGGAATGCTAAACAAAGAGCTAAGTTTATAGAGATGGGTTCATCAGGAAAAAGACTGGATGTCTGGTAAATGAACATGAAACAATGAATCTAAGAGAACTTGAAGATCTCTGTATCTAAGAACCTATTAAAAGATAACTAAAAGCTTCAGAGAATAGGAAGAAAAAAAAAATGCATCCTCATTTTTCAATGAATTTCCACACACTTAGTCAACTCCACAGTAAAATGGGAAGCCAATGAAAGAGATACACTCTGGGGAAGAACAACAAAAGTATCCTTTAGAGAACAGATGAGCTCTGTAAGAGTCAGGCAGGACCCAAGAGTGATCATTAACACAACAAGGATAAGCAGGAATGTCTCAGCAAAATAATTTTATTTTTTCAAAGGAAAATTAACCATAACACTTCTCAGGAGCATTTAATGAAAATAACAAAGTTGCCCCTAATCTCTGAACGAAACTGACTAACCTGAATAAATTATGTGAATTACAGATTATCATTTATAAAGGAAACAGACAATACTTTTATGTCAAAACATGATAAAATCTGTGGAAAAATTCATGATTAATAAATCAGCAAAAGATCTGAATTCCATGTTTACTGGTGATATATCCTAAGAGCCTGTTTCTGAGGACTTCTAAAAAATATTAATCTTTCACTGTGACAAGGATGCATGTAATATCCACTGTCTATTTCATCTTGGTTATGTCTTTATTGAGCAATCAATTCTTAGATACAATTTCACTGATAGAGCTGTAACAGTTTTGTCAAGAATCAAGAATAGTCAGATCACAATGGTCCTATAAGTTCATGTGAATGATTAGAATTCCCAGGTGTATAGTAGAGCTGACAAGGGGCAAGGCTATGGTCACTGCTTGGTCACAGCCAGCTACCCAGAGCGACGGAGTAGTTGAACCTGCGGGCTTGGGACCACAGTCGCAGGGGACATCAAGCTCAATTGGCATAACATACTATACAAAACATTGTTCCACCTCCTACTTTGGCGAGTAGTGACTGTGATCTTAAAAGCTAGCAAGCTGCCATCTAGATGCAACAATGGGTCTCTCCTCATCAAGAAGAAAGAAGAAAACCAAAATTAATGGAAACAATCAGTCCTAGCGACTGGTACACCATCCGATCTGCAACCTATACAACTATCAGACCAGAAGAACTAGATGGTACCCGGCTACCACTGTCATCCACTTGGAAGGGATGCAGGAGATCCTGCATAGAGAGGGAGAACAATGTGGAACAAAACTCAAAATCATTTGGAGGCAAAAAAAAAAAAAAGAAGAAAGAAGGTGGGGACCAGATTTGCTGGTCCAACAGAGCCTGGTGGAACCACTGAGACTATGGCCCCTAGCTGCCCTTCAGGTCTGGAATTGAACCCACACCTGTGGTTTCCAGCCAAACAAAGTACAGACATGTGAGTTAAACATTTACCTCAAGCAGACACATGCCCTGGTGAGAACAATCATGGGAGAAGTAAGGGCTGCTAATGTACAGGGAGACAGCTCAGGTGGCAGGAGAGTATGGAGGGATGGACACTGGGAAAAGGTAATTATGGGGAGGAAGTGGGAGGAGAGCTGTTGTATTGTGGTAAATTGTGGTCAATGACATGAGACAAAGTATATGTGAACTGCTGTATGAAAAGTGAGTTTGCTCTGTAAATCTTCACCCAAATCAAAATAAAATTAAAAAAAAAAAAAAAAAGAACAGTCAGATCATTTGAGAAATATGTTAAACTGAAATAACGTTTATTAATCACTACCAGCAAAAGCAAGTGATGCTGGGAATCAGTCAATTTTAAGCATGCTTGTCTAAAAAATCTTCTCCCTTGTCACAAAAGAAAAATAGGATGCAGCAAGCAGAGAAAACAGAAATGTCAAAGACAAAAGGTAATAAAAAGAAATATGCAAATACTCATCTTTTTAGAAAGTGATACCATTCATCTTTGGGGCTTACTTAATATTTTTAAAAATTATAAATTCACTTTTGTAGTCATTTACATTATGGAAAATTTTTTTAAAGACAAAAACTAGACAACTGATTAACTCTTTGGAAAAACAAAGTTATCATCTCAACTCACACAAACATAGCAAAATTCATTCAAGAATAGAAAAATAATAAATAAAACCAAAGAACAGTAGAAGAAAATATAGATGACTGCCGTAGTGTCAACACAGGGAAGACTTTTATGATCATTTAAAAAAAAATTAAGGTAAGGATAGGCTGTTGTTGTTGTTGTGCTGTCGAGTCAGTTCCAACTCACAGCGACCCCTTCTTGGGGTGCCAAGGCAGTATCACTACGGAAGTAGATTGCCCAACCTTCCTTCTGAGGAGTGGCTGATGGGTTTGAACTGCAAGCCTTCTGGTTAGCAATCAAATGCCTTAGGTACTATGCTCCCAGAGGTCCTAAAGATAGGCTACACTACCTTAAAAAATTATAATTTCTGTTCATTAAAAATATAAACAAAAATAAAAGGCAACTTAAAAAAAATACCTGCAGATAGAAACCAGGTATTTTAAAGAGTTACTACAAACCTGTAAGGGCAAAAAATAAATGTACAAGAAACAGGAAACAATGATTCAAAAGAGAAATTCAAATCAGTAAGTATGTGAAGAAATGTAATCCAAAAAGACATGCTGAAAAGACATCTGACCACTGAATTGGAAATAATATTAAATTTTTACAAAATCTATTCAGTACCTACTATGTTTCTGATTAAAAGAGATAAAATCCCTGTCCTAAGAAAGACTGTGCAGAAAGTGACAATCTAGTTGCATTGTTAAGAGAATAAATTTGAGCAACATACGTGGCGGATAACCTATAAATATGTAGCAAAAGCTTTAAAAATGGTCATACCTAGTAGAAATTTATCCTAAAGGAAATAAAAATATCTATAAAAATAGACTGTTAAGTCTATTTTTTGTTAAAAATAAGACTGTTACAACATCAACTATGATGCCCTAAACTGGAATCAGCTTATCTGAAAAAGAGGCTTTAAAGTTAAACAAAGATTCATGCATAACAGAATAGTGTTCATGGTTTAAAATAGTATTTTGAAGAAGTATTTCACATTATTGAACAATAATCATGATATATTGGATGAAAACAGTAATCACAGCAAACATTTTTGCAATAGAACCCATAAGATAATTTGAGGAATAAAAGTAATAAGTGATTTAATTTTTTTTCTTAAGCTTTTTTATACAACAACAACAAAGCTTTTTTATATTATGTATATTTTCTAAATATATATTAAACATTATTAAAATAAAGTCATTACATGCATTGGGTTTTTTTTTTTTTAAATGTTAATGCACACCAAAGAATTTAAATCTGAAAACTGACAAATCAAAGATCACATTATAAATTCTCTAAGTACTTGACTGTAACATAAAACTTCAATGGTAAATTTTCCAATACTTGTAGTATTCTCTATTTACATCTTTCCCTTCAATCTGGTAACTAATGATGAGTTTGTTACTTTTCTTACCTTTGAAAAGTCCTTTGATACCACCCATCTTTTTTACCATCTGAGCAAATTTAGTGTATTGTGTCAAAAGTTCTTGAACATCTCTCGTCGACACACCTGATCCTCTTGCTACTCTTTGGATTCTTCCTGGTTGCTTACTAAAAACCTTGGCACCATCCGTACTGTCAAGTTCTGTAGGCAAGGGTCAATTCTTTTCACTTATATAAAACACTTAAAAATTATCATCAAAACAGTTATATACAAATGGGCAACATATAACCTCACAGAGCTTAGCTGATATGTTTTTTAAAAAGATAATTATTTCCCTTTCTCTTCTTTTTATATTATGAAATATCTCAAACATACAGAAAAATAGATTATCAGTATAATTAATGCTCAAACCACCACTCAAATTTAACTAATGTTATTACTTGCCATGTTTATTTCTGATTTTAAAAAATTAGAGAATATACTCAAATTTTATAATATCTATAACCTATAAAAATAATAAACACATATGCATCACCTCACAATTTAAGTAAAATAAAACATTCCAAGAACCTGACACCCCAAGTGCGCCTTTTCCAGATCTCATATCCAACCACCTGTCAGCCACCAGAGGTACGGCATACTTCAAAAGAGAAGAAAAGTGTACTCTTTTAGCTCTACCCCAAATGACTAGTTACATTTTAAATCATAAACTGAGGCTACATACACAAAAAGTAGGGGGTCAGTTCAATCTATAATGACTAGGAAAATTGTTATATTTCCTATAATCAAGTAATTACTACTAGTAATATTTAATCCTTTCTGTAACATACAAAGAATGTGCTGATTCCCTCTAGTGTTTTGATAATCCTTAAAATATGAACTACTTTTCTTCTGGCTCTTAATTGCTTACAGTCTTGTGGTGGCTAAGTCTGTGTGTCAGCTTGGCTGGGCCTGGTTGAGTGGCTGGGTAGTCGAATGTAGTTATTCCCCATGATGAGATTGGTAATTAACTCCATGGTGGAATCTATTGGAGCACCTGAGTAGCTGCTTTGAGTATGTGGTCCACTTCCTGTATATAAGAAACAGCTTTGGGAATGGTCTCCAGCTTATGGCACACTTGAACCCTGCATGTAGCCATGTCGTTGTTCAGCAGCCTGCCATACTCTGCCGATTCTGGGACTTTCAATGGACCTGAATCAATGGCCTGCCATGTGGTTTGGTAACACCAGGACTATGCTATTTTATTTGTTGACCTTGGGTTTGTCAGCCTCAGCAGCCAGTAGCTGCCTAAGTGAAGAGATGCCTCTAGCCTCAGTGGGCTGGGAATAAAAGGCAGAGCTCAAGCCAAAGGTCGAGGGGCTTTCACATAGCCCCTAGACCCTGGCACTTTGAACTTGGACTTAAAGCCTCCAAACTGTGAGAGAATAAACTCCTGTTTGTTATGGCCATCCCATTTGTGGATATTCTTATCAGAGCAGCACTAGGTAACCAGAACAAATCTCAAGAATGGGATGGACTTCAGTAAAAATTTCATTACATCTATATTCTCCGCTCTACAATATCCCCCCAGTTAGTGGTCATCTAGCCTTGGTCTTAACATCCCCAGGAAAGATGACCAACCATATAATAACGCAATCTATGCCATTCTGGTATAGTTCTAATTATGGAAAATCTTTTCACATATTAAACTAAAATCCAAGTGTCTGGCACTTCTTGCTATTCACATAGGCATCTTCTTGTCAAGTACAAAGAATAAGACTGTCAAGCACTTGAGAGCTACTGTGTTAACTGTGAATTTTCTCTAGGTGACAGATACCCAACTCTTCTGACCGTTCCTCTTACAACATAGTTTAGAACGCTATTTATCATCCTGATTTCCTAAATGTATCTTCTAATTTGTCTGTAATCCTCCAAGAAGGGTTAAAGAAGTGAAATGAAATCCAGGTGAAGCCTGATTACCAATGCAATGCAAGGAAAGAGCAAATATGTCATAGTAAACTTATAGTCATTTAAACCTCTAAATCTATTTCATAAATTTATATTTTAAGCCACATCTTCAGAAGGCCAATTCAAGTGGAAAAGAACAGATAAACTAATAACAGCACATTATAGTAAGCAGTATGACAGAGTTAAGAAAATAGTGGAAGGAGAATTTAAGGACGAAGCTAAGTCAGGACAGGCTCTATGCCAGTGGATTCCCTTTAGCTGAGTAGTGCTGAAGGACAAGTATAAATTAGAAGAGAAACAGGAAAGACACATTCAAGGAAGCAAAACATGGCTTCCGTGAATAAATGAAAATAGTTTTATGTGGAATGAACAGGGCCTGAGTGACAGTTGAGAGATTCAAGATACTGAAACAGAAAGTAAGGACAAGATGGCAACAGGATTTATAAACCATGCCTAGAAGTTTGGAATTCTTCATGAAAAGCCATTGAAGGATTTTGACCCCAGGATGGTTATACTGGGAAAGATTATTGTGATAGCTGCGAGGGATACAGATTGAGGAGAGAAATGACAAAAGGGAAAAGCAAATGTTAGAAGGCTACTTTAGTAATCCACAAAAGAAATGCTGAATGTATGAATTAATGCAGAGTATGTAAAGACTAAGAAAACAGAGAAGGCATAAGAAATATTTAGGAAGTAAAACATATTAAATCTAAAGTAATTTAGATATAAGTATAGTAAGATGACAATATTCCATTTGAAGTGGTAAAATATTGGTACTACCAGACTGTGATAAATATTATGTATGCTGTAATCCCTAGAGCAACAACTAAACACCAGACAGATACACTAAAACCTTATCAATGGAAAAGAGACAGAATGAAAGCTAGAGGGAGAGGTAAGGCCAAGAATTGTGAATTTAAGAAGTTTATATTCTGATAGGGGGAAAAAAAATCAGTACATAAGAAAAGACTGAAGATATAGGAAAGGATTTGACTGACAGAAGTTCTTTAAGAAACATGAAGAAGGTAAGAAAGGTTTGTGGGTGGCACACTTTTGTAGGTCAATTAGCTGAAAGTTGAAGGAATTCAATGCCAAAAACCTGTATTTTCTTATAAATGAGGATAGAGGTTAAGCTGAGCACACAGTAGAGAAGAAGGCATAAAAAGGGTGATAAAGGTTCAGGATGTCTGCTGGGTGAAAGGAAAAAAGGTGCTTAAAAAAAAAAATGGGAAAATAAAGAGGTCATGGGATTGGAAACACTAATGGGCTGAGGACCAGGTAAAAGACCTGGAAATATAAGATGCAATGACAACACATGATTACAGAAATAAAGCAGTGCACTTTTGAGCCTAAAACCTTGGGAGTTTCACAGCAAAAGAAGTTTGTCAACAGTGCTTAAGCTAACCCAATGTACGTTAGCATATTAAAGCTCTGATGAGACTTACAATAAATAAATTAAATTAACTTCATTTAGCTCAGCATTACCAAATTTTACTTGACTGAAAAGCACCCTCCCTCCTTTTAAGTTACTGCTAATAATATCATGGAAAACTAGTGCTCTTTACATGGGACTCATTTGCAAAAGCATTTTACTAAACATTTCTCTCAACAATGAAGTCAACCCAATAATCCTAACACTTTGAGTAAGAGTTTTCAAGCTGCTAAAAATCTACCAAACAATAATTTTTAAGCATAAAATTTTCCCCATCTTGTCACAAGAATATAGTGAAACTCTCAGGTTGCTGATATTCAGAACATCACCTTGCAGTCAAGTAGTCTGTTATCTTACCTTGATCATTCATACTATCCATTATCGTCATTAATTTCTTTAGCCTTGCCATTGACTCCTGTTCATTTCCTTTGCTCATAAAGTCTGTTCCAAAACCAGGGATCATCCCCTAAAACAAACATGTTTAAACATAAAATAAATAATAGTTTAAGATTGTTAAGAATGTCTACATTAATTATTGGTTTTAATTTTAATACTAAGTCTTAAGATATTTCTTTTTATTCAATATCAAAAATAATTAAAGCAAATGCAACTCTTCTTAGAAATCTTAATGAACAATGAAAACAAAAGACAATACAAAGAAACAATTTATGATAACTAACCAAGATCTGACTGAAGGGGCCCATTTTCATGATGTTCTGAAATTGTTCATACATATCTCTTAAGGTAAACTGACCTGAAACACAATACAAATGATTTTGACATATTAGAAAACGTATATTTCCATTCGATAAAAATAATCTTTTCCTTAATTGTGGGTTTATTGTGAAGCACATTATAAAATATCTAATCAATAAATATTCATAAGGTACTAAGATGAATGCTGTGGAATATCCAGAAACACAGATCCTATCCTCAAGAAGCTTACACTCTATCAGAGAAGATGGCCATACACAAACATACAAAAAATCTGAAAATAAGGCAGATCAATTATATCCACTAGAATGACGAAAATTAAAAAAGCTTGTTAACACTTAAAAAAAAAAAAAAAAAGGATGTGGAGCAACTGTTGTTGTTTGTTATGTGCTGTCGAGTTGGACCCGACTCATAGCGACCCCTCCTTGGGTTTCCGAGGCAGTATCACTATGGAAGTAGACTGCCCAACCTTCCTTCCAAGGAGTGGCTGGTGGGTTTGAACCACCAGCCTTCTGGTTAGCAGTCAAGTGCCTTAGGCACTATGCTACCAGAGCTCCTGTGGAGCAACTAGAACTCTCATATATTGCTGTTGAGAGAGTAAAAAACACTTTACAAAATTATTTGGAGTTTATTAAGTAGCTTATATGTCCATGAAAAGAAAAATGGATAAACTGTGGATGAAATACTACTCAGAAATAAAAAGAACAAACTACAGAGGCATACAATTGTATGGATGAATATAAAAAATGTTGAAATCCAGAAGAATTAAATATAGAGAGAAAGAAAACAAATTAGTGGTTAGCACGGGTTGGAGTAGAAGAAAATGAGATGCTTCATGGGTCTAGAATTTCTGGTTGAGGTAATGAAACAATATGGAAAGAAATAATGACGATGGTTGCAAACAACTCCGTGTATGGTGGGGGAGGGCACTGTGCTGAATCAAAGAAACCAGATGCAAGAAAAAGTACATACAGCACTATTCTACAATCAGGGCCTGCGGCAGTTAAGTTTGTGTGTCAATTTGACTGGGCCTGGTTGAAAGGCTGGGCAGGTGGATGTATTCCCCACGATGAGACTGGTAATCAACTCCATGATAGAATCTACTATGAGCAGCTGAGTGCTGCCTTAGATATGTGGTCTGCTTCCGGTATATAAAGGAGAAGCCTTGGGGAATGCTTTCCAGCTTATGGCATGCTTGAAACCTACATGCAGCTATGTTGTTGTTCAGTAGCCTACCATGCTCTGCTGACTTTGAGAGTTCTAATGGACTTGAATTAGTGGCCTGCTGTGTGATTTGGTAAAATCGGGACTGTGTTTTTTTACTTGTCAACCTTGGGCTTGTCAGACTCAGCAGCCAGCAGCTGTCTGAGTGAAGAAAATCCTCTAGCTCCAGTGGACCAAGAACAAGAGACAGAGCTAAAGCCCAAGTTTGAGGAGCTTTTACCTAGTCCCGAGAGCCTGGCACTTTGACCTCAGACTTAAAGCCTCCAAACTGTAAGCGAATAAACTCCTGTTTGTTCAAGCATCTGATGTGTGGTATATTCTTGTAAGAGCGGCACTAGGTAACTGAAACGGTGCCCATGGAAGTAGCAGTCAAGAAATCAAACAACAGCCAGTAAGATGGCGGAATAGGCAAAGAGAATGCACAGACCCTCTTCAACAAAGAAAAGGGGCACCAATTAACACAGATACAGAAGATAATCCTGGACCCCTGAGCCTTGAAGGGAAGGATACAGAAGTGGACTACACTCCAACTAGCAGAAGAATTTGCACAAAAACACCAAAAAAGGAGACATATAGAGCTGTGGTCTGGCAGCGATCGTGACAGCACAGACAGCTTGGATATTGCCAAGTGGTGGTAGGACCTAAGCATTAACCTGAAAATCAGCTCTGCTAGCCAGGGACTGCACGGAGAACTGCTCTGGTGGCTGGGGAATAAAAGGGGAAGCAGCAAAGAGGAAGGCGGGCTGAGCTGTGTACTTATCTCTGTCCAGAGGGCACAGCCATTTTGAATGTTTACAAGCAACTTGACTATTTTGGGTGTTTAAATGACAGTGTTTGCCCAGATTCCAGGGACTTAAGAAGAGGCTCCACTTGCCAGGAACCCAAAGAATATTCAGGACCCGGACGACTGGAAAGGTGGGACAGTCCCCTTGTTATTCTTATACCCTATACCCTCTATTGATGAACGGAGGTGCAGCTGCCCCTCACTCCCACCCCCTTTCTGGGCCAGCAGGAATGCCATCACTCTGGTAGCATAGTGTCTAAGGCACTTGACTGCTAACCAGACGGCTGGCGGTTCAAACCCACTAGCCACTCCTCGGAAGGAAGGTTGGGCAATCCTACTTCCGTAGTGATACTGCCTCGGAAACCCAA